CCAAAGAGGAACCTCAAAAGAAAATCTTTTTGGATTTTGAAATTAATATCTTAAAGACAACTTTCAAAGAGATACTAAAAGAAAATTCCTTTTTTTTTGAATTTTAGTCTTAATATACTAAAGGAAATATAAAAATAATTTTTTAATTTTGAGTTCTAGATATTAATTCAATAAAGCGAAACAACCTCAAATGATTTTTTTTATTCCTAGAATTAGTATTCTAAAGAAAACTTCTAACGGAAATATAAAACCCAACATCTCTTTTTTTGAATTTTTGATTTATATCACACTTTTTCGAATACAAAATAGAAAGTACAATAATAAAAAATAAAAAAAACTCGACAGTACTGTACAAAACTCAAAACACAAAAAATAAAAAGAAAGATCTTCTTAAGAAACTCCTGAATAAGCGATCCTGACTGGATGGCCCCGGGGTGTCTGTCATGCTCAAACTTCGATAAGTACACCCACACCTGTATGAGAAAATTAAGACCAAATAAAGTTAAAGACCTAGAACATTATGTGAGACAATAACACTCCCTATTGGACACATGCGACACCTGGTTATGACTATTTTTCTAAAATTAACCTATGTGGCTAAAAAGTGTCTAAAATGCAAGATTTGGCTAAGACCCCGCGAAGCCTAGGACCTAAGACTCACTAGGAAGACCGGATCCTATGTGGGTTGCCTACGTATCCCGCCCCTAGAGACGAGAATTAGGTATGCGTAGTTCGGGCAGATTGGATACGGGCGAGAATAAAAAAAATAACTAATTTAGAGAAAATATTTTTTTTGTCTCTTTTTTTTTTGAAAAAAAATGATGAAACGTGTAAACTCTTTTTGGACTTTCTTTTCCCTTTTTTTTTATTTTATAAAAATGATGAAAAAGTGCAAAATCTTTTTTTTTGAATTTTTCATGTTTTTTTTTTCTCTTTTTCTTAACAAAATGTGACAAAAACATAACCGGGCCCTACTTGCTTTATTTCCACACTTCACCCTCTCTTTTTTTGTCTTTTTCATTTGCCCCCAACTATCATTGGTCCGCCAAATGACCCTTTTACCCTTGAAGAAATGCAACATGTAGCACATAGGATGCATCAGGATGGTCTTTTATTTTTGGGTACACCTGTCCTAGACGGACCCAACCCCTATGTTGAGTCCCCTAAGTTCAAATGCACATGATGCAAACGAACGCTCCTACTAGGGATCCGGAATGAGCCTGTGTTTTTCTAGGTTTAAATCCTGGGGTGGTGTTCTAGACTTGGGTTACCCGAGCGGACAACTGGGGCCGAAGAGGAGGCGACGTACCGGGAGAACTAAAGTCTACCCGGCCTTGTCTCTGGCCCAGCCTCGTTCTATTTAGTATAATTCTACAGAAAAAGCGGGCCACGCGAACGTGTGCACCATTTTCAGAAGACCCAGAGGGGTGGCGTAAGAAGACAGTAATATACAATTCAAACAATATTAAAGCGGTAAGTAAACAACATTTAGCACAGTAGGTCCACAAAATACAGTAATCAACAATAAATAAAGCCAAATAAAATCATATTAAAAAGCTCGAATTCTTGAACACTGAACCAGAAATTCTGGGTTCTTGATCCACAGTAGAGTCGCCAGAGCTGTCACACCTCCTTTTTCTACCCCCGTAAGGGTATAAGGGAGTTTTTCCAATTTAAGTGACAATCGAAATGGGATTATTTATATTAAAATCAGAGTCGCCACTTGGGATAATTTATGGTGTCCCAAGTCACCGGTTTAAAATCCCGAATCGAGGAAGGTTTGACTCTTATTTACGGTCTGCGAACACAGAAATCCGGATAAGGAATTCTGTTAACCCGGGACAAGGTGTTAGGGATTCCCGAGTTCCGTGGTTCTAGCACGGTCGCTCTGATCATACTTGGCTTATTAAATTGTCTAATTACTTATTTTAGAACCTATGTGCATTTGCCTCTTTTAATTAAGAAAATATCTTTAAACAGGTCACGCGCACGTGTACCCATTTGTTTTGCGCTTCAAAAATCATGTCACGCGCACGTTTCCACGATTAATAACGCTTTATTATTATTGAGAAAGTTTAGTCGAAATTACGCGAACGCATACTCCGATTTTGGTTTTAATATCGTAGTTACGTTACGTGAACGTGTACGCAACAACGATAATATATTAAATTGTGACTAAAGCAAACTACGATGTTTGTAAGTTATTTATCTTATTTAAGGAGGTGGGCCAGACATAATTCTTTTCGGCCAAATTTCTTATCTTTTCGTAAAAAAAAACTTACTTCCAGTAACACTCATTCCTAAACGAACTTAGGCCCAAAATCCCTTGAAAACTATAATATTATTCTCAAAGCCTAAGCATCAAATCTAATGAAACCTACTGCAGCATATCAAAGATCTATTCTAACCGGTATATAAAGTCGTCGCAACATGATTTCGACTAAAATTGTTCAAATGATAAGCAAAAGGATAAATCTACTCACTTAAAACTTTTATAAAGGAAGAGAAAATACTTAGGACCTTTAAAACAAAAGAACCAATTCGTTACTATTTGTTAAACAGAACAAGGAACATTCAAAATTCTTATTGCTAAAAATTCACAGTCCAACACAATTCCCAACTAATCACATGGCCATCACTATTTAATTTTGAACTTAATCAAACAAAATACTTAATAGTCACATAATTAATCCAATGTATAACTCAATACATCAAATCTAATAGGAAAAACCAAACAAGAAAACTGATCAACGGTACATTAAACATCATGAATAATACTTCTGAACGACACAATCAGAGGCAAGAAAAACTGACCAAAAGTAAACAGAACCAGCACCGGAGTTACGAACGTTAACCTCGACAAATCGCAGACCTCGCCGGAAAAATAGGAAATTCGACGGAAAACCAACCGGATTCTGTCGGAATTTGAACGAAACAGTAATGAAACGAACCGGGCGACTAGAACCTCGGTCGAATCTACTTCGCAGCTACTGTCCAATCGATTTAGGGATGAAGATTGGCAGATTTTTGGTCAATCTTTCCTTTCAAAAATTGCTGCCCTCCTTTATTTCCATGTCTGTTCGTTTTTCTTTGGTCGATGAAGAAGATGGGGCGACGGGGGCTCGTCAGGGATGGTCGCTGCTGTTGGCGTTTGGGGGGTTTGTGAAGACGATGAAGTTTTAGGGGGTGGGGAGGTCTCTTGGTCGAACGGCGCTCTAGCTTTTGGAGTCTAGGTCCGATTTTGTGTGTGTTTTTTGGTGTTCGAAATGAAAAAGAAAGAGAAAAAGCTGATGGGTGTCTCCTTGTGTGAAAAACGGCGCTGCCTTGTGTGTATTTTCGCTCATGGCCTTAGGTCTAAGGGTCTAGGTATTTGTAGGGTTTTTTAGGTTAAGGGGGTATGGACCTAGGAATTATGGGCTTGAGATTTATGGGCTAGGTCCAAAAATTAGACTTATAAATGGGTCGTTTGAGCCTAAATTTTATTCTTTCTCCGTAAACAAGACTAAAAATACTACCTTATTTACCAATTAATCCAACTTAAGTAAAATAACTATTAAAATAGGATTGACCGTTTAAAAAAATTATTTTTGGTATTTTTCAAGATTAAAAATGATTACAAAATATTAATGAAACTACTTTTTTTTTGTAATTTTTATTTTCTTGTAATAAAATAAAGTAAAAGAGTCAAAATTAGTTGAGATAGCGATATTAGGCCTAAATTAAATATTTACGTGCTAAAATATGAAAAATCTTGGAGAGGGTAAAAAATCACATGTCTACACTCGTCTTCCCTGTGAACAATAATTCCTTGCCTGTCATGTTCGAATTTGAGCATCTGATGCAAGGTGGATGGCACAGCTCGGGCTGTATGGATCCATGGCCTTCCAAGAAGAAAGTTATAAGAAGTGGCCATGTCCACTACTTGGTTGACAATCTCAAAGTCAACTGGCCCAATCGTCATGGTGAGGTTGATCTCCCCAATGGCATCTCTTGCTGAGCCATCAAAAGCCTGGATGCGAACATTGCAGGGTCGAATTCTATCTGTATTGATTTCATGCTTTGCAAGGTAGAGAGAGGGCATACATCTACACTTGAGCCTCCATCAACCATGACCTGCTTTACATAATGTCCCTCACATTTGACCATCAAGTTCAAAGCCCTATTGTGCCCGGCTCCCTACTCGGGAGGTTCATCATCAGTAAAGGAGATTCTGTTCACCTCAAAAAATCTGTTGGCGATTTTCTCTAACTGATTTACTGTGGTCGCCTCTGAGATTTGTGCCTCGTTCAGGACCTTGATTCGTACATGGGCATGCTCTTTGGAAAGTATGAGCAGAGATACTGGAGAGATTTGGGCAGGAGTCTTTCTTAGCTGGTCAATGATTGAGTAATCCTGAACTTTCATCTTTTTCAAAAACTCTTCCGCCTCTGCTTCGGTGACTGGTTTCTTTATTGGCAATTGGCCTTCTCTGATTTTCATGGCCTTCCTCAACACTTCTGGAGAGTAACATCTCCCCGATCGAGTCAAACCTCCAGTTTCCCCCACTTCCTCTATGATTTCCTTGCCTTTGTAGGTCATCACAGTTTTGTTGTAGTTCCAAGGAGTGGTTTTTGTGTTGGTCACAGGGGGTTGCATGGCAGGTTTAATTATGATCGGCTCTGTTATACCTTTCGAACCTCCCTGCTTCTGCCTTGTGACAGGGTGGCCTCCAAGTACATATAACCTTGGGCTTGGAACACTGGAGTGAACTTCCAACCTCAAGATTTTTGGAACAAATAAAGTTTCCTTGTTTGAGCTCTGGGCGCCTTTCACAATCAATGGCACATCTCGGCTGGGACTTACTTCCAGACCAGTTCCTTCTTGAATTGCACCCACTGTCATTTTTGCTCGATCGACCGGCTTGTATTCTTGATCTCGGCCAATCATTCCCACAAAATGAACATCATTGTGTGCTGGCAACAGGTTGTTTGTCACATTAGGAGGGTCTTCGCCATTTGTCACTACAATTAATTTTTCAGAAATGAGTCTCTCTTTGGCTCTTTTCAGAGTCCAACAGTCATCAGTGCTATGCCCCGGGGCACCTGAATTATACTCACATCTGGCATTTGCTTGAAATCCATGTGAATCAGGATGCATATGGTGGGGAGCGATGGGTCCAATCACGCCCATTTGCTTCAGTTTTTGGAATAGACTAGAGTATGATTCGGCCAATGGAGTGAATTTTTCTGCCGCCCTCTGCTCTCGACCATAATCCTGCCTGGGACGAGCATTGTAGGGTGCCCGAAAATTTTGTTGTTGAGGTCGGGGGGCCCTTGGAGCTGGTGCCCGTACCTGCATATTGGGAGGCCAAGCATATGATTGAGCATTGAACACTGTTTATTATGGTGGGCCCACAGAGTATTGAGGAATTGGCGGGGGATAGTAATGTTGAGGATAGCTGGATTGTCCGTGCTGAACTTGCACATAAGGGTGCGATGCCCCTCTTTGAACTTCCCTAGATCTCGAAATCATCATGGACCCTTCATATCTCTTCTTTCTATTTGCCAAACCTCCCGACCCATTTTGAATAGCTTGGGTGGTAGCCTTGAGAGCAGCTTGACTTACAATTCTGCCAGTCTTGAGGCCATTTTCGACCATCTCCCCTATTTTGATTGCTTCTGCAAAAGGTCTACCCATCGCAGACATCATGTTCTGAAAGTAATCAAGCTCTTGAGCCTCCAGAAAAACAGTGATCAACTCGTGGTTATCCATGGGTGGCTTAACTCTAGCCGCTTGCTCCCTCCACTTGATGGCATACTCCCTAAAACTTTCGGTCAGCTTTTTCTTCATATTAGACAAGGAATTACGATCCGGCGCAATATCAATGTTGTACTGAAATTGTTTGACGAAGGCCTAGGCCATGTCATCCCAAACATGCCAGTGAGAGATATCTTGGTCAATGAACCATTCGGAAGCTATCCCCACAAGGCTTTCCCAAAAGTAAGCCATCAGCAGCTCTTCCTTTCCTCCTGCACCCCTCAGCTGGTTGCAATACCTTTTCAAGTGGGCGATAGGGTCGCCGTGTCCATCATATTTCTCAAATTTCTGGGTCTTGAACCCTCGTGGCAAATGGATGTGAGGGAACATGCATAGATCACTGAATGAAACACTTTTGTGACCACCTAGTTCCTGTATATTCTTTATATTCTGTTCAAGACTTTTCATTTTCCTGGCCATCTCATCTGGCTCAACCGTCGTGGCAGGCTTTTCATTTTCCACTAGTGACTCGTACTGAGGAGTCTGATTGTATGGAGACGAGACTCCAAAAGCCATATTTGGAGAATAGTATGAGCCATCATAAGCATGAGATGGTGGCTCATTGTTTGGCCTCATCACAGGAGGTGGTGGCAGGATTGTATATACCAGTGCGCCAGACACGACGTGAGGGGTGTTCCTGACTGGTGCGACTGGAGGTCGCATGTTAGAGGTACCAGGGGCAGCATGGAGGCTGTAGTTTGGCACATACCCTGGTGGTAGAATGTGATTGCTCGTTGCACGGAGCGGTGTTTGAGTAGCCTGGGGTATGGTGGAAGTTCCCTCTGAAGGACTCTGGGGTGGAGGTCGACCGGAAACCTAAGCTTGATATACATCTGACAGTTGCTGTCTCAATTTTTTATTTCCTCCGACTCTTGCTCAACTGATTGACCCTGCGGATTGTCACTGACCAACTCGATTTCATCACTGTTATCCATTACCACCGCTCCCTTAGATCTTATGAAGTAATGATGTGTTGCCAGTTTCACCACAAACCAACCACCTTAAGCTTACTAATTAGAGGCAACAAATGTGTTAGGGTTAAGAATTTTACAGATAGGAATCACACGTAGATATTCTATGCTCCTAAAATATCACCATTTTTAACATGATCTTTAGAAGGCTTCATGTTTCATCCCGGCTTATCAGCTTGTTGCTTATTGACACTGTTATCTCTTTTTTTTCCGTTTTTCCTTTCACTCGCCTTATTTTGATCCCTTACTTTAGAGTCATTAAAAACAATATTTGATCTAACCTTTTGTGGGTTGCATACGTATCATGTCGCCGCATGAATCAGATCATTACGTAGTTCAGGGGTATCAAGAATAAATAAATAAACTAAACTCATTTTTTTTTGTTTTTTACTTATATACTAATTAGACCACGAAAGCTCACAAGAAAAATATTTTTAGATTTTTCTTTGTGGGAATTGTTGGATGAAAAACTTCTAAAAAGTAAGATTTTTTTTTATTTTTTCAAAAGAAAGACTTCCAAAGAAGAAGAAAATATTTTTGGAGTTTTGAATTTTTGCCGTTGAATGAAAAAAATTATTTGGATTCTGAGTTTTCTTTTTAATTTCAGAAAGAAAAAACTTCAGAAGAAGAATGAAAATATTTTGCAATTCAATTTATTTATTTATTTATTTTGAAATTTCTGGATTTGATGTCTCAAAAATAGATTTAAAGGAAAATATTTTGGAATCCAAATTTTTTGGGAGTTGTTGAAAGAACGACTTCTAAAGAAGAAGTAAAATATATTTCTTCCAGATTTCGATTTTTTCTTGAATCCTCGAAAGAAAGACTTCTAAAAAGAAAGAAAATATTTTTGGATTTTGAATTTATGCCTTTGAATTTCCGAAAATATTTTGAATTCTGAGTTTTGTTTGTAATTTCCGAAAGAAAAACTTCCGAAGAAGAACGAAAATATTTTGGAATTAAAATTCTTTTTTTTTGTTTTTTCTTTTTTTTTTCTCTAATTTCGGGATTTAATGTATCAAAGATTAATGGAAAATATTTTTGAATTTTTCAAAATTGGGGGCTGGACCCGATAAAGGTTGCCTAGGTATCTCACATCCGGTGAGAATCAAACCCTGCGTAGTTCGGTAAAACTAGGTACTTTTCTCTCTTTTTTTTTATGAAAACATATCTTTACAACTCACACCAGACTACTACAAATTTTTTTTTAAAAAAAGGTTTGTTTGCACTAAACTAGGAGAATGATTCTCTTTTTTTTTTCATTATTAATAATTACACTAATTTTTTAAAGGCAGTCGAAAATGCAAGTAAGCCTTCCAAATGATGTATCAAGTAGCACATACGTGAACATGATGGTCTCAAAGAGGATATCTGTCTTATACGAACCTGGCCCCTGTGCCGAGTTTCGCTAAGTCAAATGCACGTGATGCACATAAAGCGAACCTACTAGGGATATCCGGCATGAGGTTTGTTCTTCTAGGTTTAATCCTGGTGGAGAAGGTATCTAGAATGGCTTACTCGAGCGGACAACTCGAGCCGAGGAGGGTAAGTGTACCGGTAGCATTGCTTTTCGGCTTAACTGGTGGTGCTCCCCGCCTAAAATATGTGTGATTAAAATCCTTCACCGGGTGACAAGCACCTCGACTATCTCAAAGAAAGCGGGCTATGTCAAGCATATGCCCAATTTTAATTTCAAGAAGACTTAGAGGGGGTGCGTGAGAAAACAGTTTATATGAATAGTTCAACAATATCAAAACGGTAAAAATCGAACAGGTAGCACATTGCACAAATAAATCGCAATATAGACAAAATTAATTAAGCCAAATAAAAAGTCAACATGTACAAGCTCGAATTCTGGTTATCCCCAGCGGAGTCGCCAGAGCTGTCACACCCCTTTTCTACCCTCCAAAAAAAATGTAGTATTATGGATTTGGGGGTTAAAGAGTTTTTTCAATTAAAGTGACAAATTTAAGTGGGGATTATTTATTTACAGAGTCGCCACTTGGAATTAATTTTTGGGTGTTCCAAGTCACCTTTTATTTGAATCCCTATTCAAAGGAAGATTTGACTCATCTATGTCGGTCCGCGAAAACAAAGTTCGGCTAAGGAATTCTGTTGACCGGGGAGAAGGTGTAAGGCATTCCCCGAGTCCCGTGGTTCTAGCACGGTCGCTCTATTGACTTAAAACTGGCTTGAATTAATTTTTGGATAAACTGTGATTTATATGATTTTCATGTTTTACCTATCCGCTTTTATTCCTTGATTATTAAAGAATATAATAAAATGTCATAGTCACACTACGCAAACGAATACGTGATCGAATAACAAAATTAATTAGCTTATCATAATTGCGCCTCGCAAGTGAATCAACAATCACGACAATCAATTATTTGTAGTAATTTTGAGAAATTACTACATTTAAGAAAATTGATTCTTGAAGATTATTAAAAGAAAAAAGGTTAGCTATCGCGCCACGCAAGCGAATCCGCGATTTTAGCCAAGGACTGATTAAATTAAAAATTAACTAAAACTAATGGATAAGGCATGAGTGTCACGACCTGTCACGACCCAATTTCCAAACCCGATCGTGATGGCGCCTCTCGTGAAGACAAGGCCAGCCAACTAACCCAAATCGTCTCTTTAATATTTATTAAACATAAACAAATAGGTGAATATAGCTTAACGACAATAATAACCAGTATGTACAACCCAACACAACCCGACCGGGGTGTCACAAGTCACGAGCATCTAAAGAAACCTTAACACAACTACAGGTCAATAAATATATACAAGTAAAATTTCTGGAAAACAAAAGACAACATCCGGTGCCGCGAACGCTGGCCGTCACCTTGCTCAGCTACAATAATAATACCTTCAATCCGCTAATAACCCGCTACCGAGTGAACGATACCTGCAACTGCACGCGAGGTGCAGGGAGTAAAGTGAGTACTCCCAACTCAGTGAGTAATAGAAGTAAATAATAACTGAGCAGCAAGAAATCACGTAAAGCAACCAACGGGCTGTATAGAAGCCGGGTACAATTTCCGAGAAAACAGTGAAATCAGAGAAACTCTTTAGGAGTGTTTTGGCTCAGTTCAAATCTCTTTTGAAAATGGTCCTTTCAATAATTACAAAAGCTGTTCAAAATAGTTAGTGCTGATTAGCATAGAAAATCCGCCCCTCGGGCACAAATACCACAGCATAGCAGGTAAAAATGCAAATAAGTATGCAAGATGAGCACATAAAAGTTCGCCCCTCGGGCATGATTTTTCGTTACTAGTCAGTCATTGTTACCTGACCGGTCAGCCATTGTTACCTGACCAAAACGCGTATTACAGTGCCATTGTTACCACTGTCTAAAATTTAACCGCTCTAGATGGGTACCCGCGCTCACTGTGGGTGTGCAGACTCCGGAGGGGCTCCTACAGCCCAAGCGCTATATCATCATAAGGCCTGAAAGCCTGTACATATCAACATGAGGCCTGAAAGCCTTCTCACAGCACACTCGAGGCCTGAAAGCTTCCTCACAATACACTCGAGGCCTGAAAGCCTCCTCACAATACACTCGAGGCCTGAAAGCCTCCTCACATCACTCTGCATATCCTCACATATGGCCCTCGGCTGTCACGACCCGGATTTCCCACCCTCGGGAGTCGTGATGGCGCCTACTAATGAGAGCTAGGCAAGCCAACTTAATTAGCATTTTCATTAAACACCTATTCCTTTTTAACAATTAACAGCATTAAATAAAGGCGACGGAAAGACCTAAATGTAGATAGATGATCAATAATACAGAAGTTCCAACACATATATCTCTACCCCGGGATTGGAGTCACATACTCACGAACATCTAGGGAGTACTACATACAAAGTATGAAAGAAACATAATCTGTTTATCTCGAGTACAATGAAATGACAGCCAAATGTAAAGATAGACGGGAGACGCCGGGCCTGCGGATGCCTGCAAGCTACCTCGGGTCTCTCTGGACTGAAGGTTCGCCCCCGTGCTAATGCTGCTGCTGCTGCTTAATACCTGGACCTATGCAAAAATGCACAGAGTGTAGCATCAGCACAACCGACCCCATGTGCTGGTAAGTGCCTGGCCTAACCCCGGCGAAGTAGTGACGAGGCTAGACAGGACCTACCAAAAATAACCTGTGCAGGTGTATATGTATAAACAAGTACAATGAAATAACAACAGAAAATACCAGCTAAGGCAGGGAGGGGACATGCTTAGGGGAAATACAGATGAACACAATTGATCAGAAGTAAACACGGAACCACATCCGATCTCATAATCTATATAAGTGGTCGGCGTGCCACACGATCCCATTTCATAATATATATATATAGGTGGTCGGCGTGCCACACGATCCCATTTCATAATATATAGGTGGTCGGCGTGCCACACGATCCCATTTCATAATATATAAGTGGTCGGCGTGCCACACGATCCCATTTCATAATATATAAGTGGTCGGTGTGCCACACGATCCTATTTCATAATATATAAGTATTTCCCGGCAAGGGAACAAGCATCAATTCAACCATCCCGGCAAGGGAGGATACAAATAAACCATTAACTCCGGACAAGGGAGCAACAACATTAACTTACACGTCCCGGCAAGGGAGTAAACTCTTCCTCTTCCGTTCATTTCTTACGTCTTAATCGTGTCATATTTCGAGCCACCACTCCAAGGAGTTTACAATTCATATTTTTCTTCTTCATATTGTTCACATTATATCGAGTCCATCAATTAAACAAGAAGGAGTCACTACGGAATCCCGAATAAGCACAAGCAAAGACTCACGGTCATGCTAGACACCGGTGTATAGATACTCGTCACCATGCCTATACACCGTACTCAACATTTAGCAATTAGCAAATAATGCTCTAATCCTATTCCCTCAAACCAAAGTTAGATCAAACACTTACCTCGAATGCTCCAACTCAACTCAAGCCT